CTAGCTCACAAGAGAAGACCCAAGGCTGCTTTACAGCCGCGTGACATAACTAGTACATATTTATAAACAATATCTATATCTACCTCGGCAAGAGCTCAGCGCCATCCGCGAAGCAGTCTGCAATTGATTCCAATTAAATTCGTCTCACGCGCAGGTAATCTCGTGGACGACGATTTCTTATTGCCACGTCCGTCGGTCTTGCTGCGCAAGAAGCCGTACTTCGATCTCCTGGAACCATCACCGATGGCACCCATCAGTGCGTTTACTAGGGACCCATGGTGGTACCCAAGCTACGCGCCCTATATTCCGAGCTACGCACAATACCGCACACCTTTCTTTCTGAGGGACAGTTACCTCAGTCCAATTAAACGTAGCTATCTATGGAGCCGACATCCCTTCAGGCCCTTCGGTATGTATGACTCACTTAGCCTTTGACTTAAGCAACGTACCGTTCTTTTTCATACCGATCAAAGATCAATGCCAACTCAATTTTAATTATTTATTACAGCAATAATAAGTTAATAATAATACATTTATTAAATTATATTCAATAGTAATAACAAATTTATTTCGAACATAAAAATGTAAGCTCGGTAAATGATTGCACAAGTTCATATGACGTGGAGTGGCATTGGTCGTTAACAAACACTGACTACAGATGCTATTAAAAGATATCGAAGCATTGCAAAATTTCCGCTAGATCAACATGATATTTATTAACATGTTATACGTTAAATATAACATGTACTTTCAAATTCCAACCAAATTAAAAAATGCAGACATGAAATATTTAAATAATTTCTTGGTAATCGGTTTTTTCGTTGACCTGTAATCAGTCATTGCAATAATATATTTGCGATTACTTGTTTTTTAATTTCCTTAAGAAGACATTTGTGATCGCAAATACACATCTAGATCTAGACTACTATCGTAAAATGTTTAAAAAAATTATTATTATTATATTATTAAGATGCAAAATAAACTAGTATCATAATTTCTCAACTTTTCGAAAATTTATATAATTTTCATCAAATGACAAAGTATAGTAGTCTAGAATATAATGCCCTTTTTTTTAAACATGCACTTAACAAGCATTATTAAATTACAGTTTAAGCACAGTCTTACGAAAGACGAGATATTTTTCGCAAAGGAAGTATTTTTCGTTTTCATTCGTTTTTGTAATATACGTGAGCTATTGGAACTCATACTCATTGTCAGCCGTCTATCTTTTTACCAGTAGAATAGCCATAGTCTCGGTATGGATTTTGATAATTTTTCACGCTTATCTACGTCATTAGACATTTAGGGAAACGTTTCTATTGGCGAAAACTTTTCTCTCGATTATTCTTTAATTACAGAATCAATAAATTAGTCACAAATTTTATTCTATATAAATATTTCTGTTAACGCAAAACGATTGATTGTATAAAATTTGAACGGAATTGAAAAATTAAAAAATATAATAGCAAAATCACCATTTAAAAATAGTAATCGACATGTATATGTAAATTGAGAAAAGTCATCGCCAGTCGTGACGTCGGAAAACAGGTCAGAATATTCTTTCACTTGTCATCTCGATCAAAAATATAAACCGTCGCGACCATACGGAGATATTTGGCACATTGACGATATTGCTAGTGATTTTGGCACAGGCATAACATCGTGCCATCAGCTTCGCCGAACTGTAAAATTGAGAACAGTTGGTGCCAAAAACAGGCGAAGTCGACATTTCGGGCAACTTTGTTTTTTGAGCGCGTTCTACATTTTTCAACAGACTGCGAAATTTTATTCTTGCTTAATTAGCCAAAAGTAGTTGCGTTTCTTTTGAAGCCGAATGTTAATTTTTTTACAAACTCTCCGAATAACATACAATTTCCAAGAAATGATCCAAAAAAAAACGTCCGAAAGGTGTCTCAACGTTGCAAATATCCTTCAGACACCTTTTAGACACGTTTTTTTTTTATTTTTATCCTGTTTGAGATCTCACCAAGGACAAGTGATTAACGACAGACTCGACTCTATCGACTTAAAACCGAGAATGTCCGATGCAGATTTAATGTAATGAGACCGATGCTACAGCAAACGAATGTCTATCATTTCAGGAGCGTTATACTACTATTATTCGCAGCCAGTTCCACGATTTCACTTTACCAGCCCGTGGTATAATAAACGTACCACGTATTAAACAAAAATGTGAGCGATAAGAGATTAAAGTGGTCGAAGTGTTGAATCCCTATCACACCCTATTTACTCGTTTAATAAGTCAAACAATCAATAATCTCAGAGTCGGCGCGGGGATAGTGGCACCACGATACACTCCAAAAACGGTCCTCGTTTGCGCCACATTAAAGCGTAATACACTGGCTAATTAACATGCAAGTAGAACGTAACAAATAAGTGATCAACGTATATATGTATATCGTAATAGGCCCGTGTTACGACGGCTGTTTGAATAAAAGAGAATTCGGGCCTCTTAACCCTTGGGCTACCACGCGTGTTTTTGTACATTTTTGTAAATCTTTATTTGTATCAATAGTCTTATGAAAAAACGCGTTCCTTCTTTCGCGTAACCCCGATTACACTCGTATATTAACTCGACTGTTTTTCCCAAATGTTTTCCTCAGAATGCGTTACAAGAATGTTCCCTAATCCTTGTGGTAATTATTAATTACCGAGCCATTACTCCGGCTGAGGAGCCGCTGACAAAATCTCGAACACGCGGTATGTGCCCGATAATATCTGTCTGTCTCAGTGGTGAAATAGTTGTTTGTACAGTGATTAAAAAAAAACTCTGTTACACGCAAATTAAGATCGCTGCATGATATACATTCGCCACATTTGTTTGTTAACACTAGAAGAGTTTTAAGTTTACTCCTCAGCGCTGAAGCAACTATAACTTGTTAAATATTAAATCTGTCGCGCTGCTTGAAATCTCCAAAAACGTTTGCACCTGAAATGAGATTCGTATAGTTGAGTGTTAAAAAGAGGGAACACCCAGTAAGCAAAAATGCTAAGTGCAAAAAGGGCAAACAGCGCAAACAATCTATTCTCTTAAATAACAAGAAATTTTGTTGATTAATTTCAGTAATTGTGCTATCGATAAAAAGGAGATAAAAATATATCCGCATTAATTATTAATTTTATAAATTTACTTATCTTGCGATTATAAAGTAAAAATATGACAAGGGCAATATAACACGAATTATTTCTTAACATAACAGAAGCTACTATATCTTCTAGTGTTAAAATCACGTGTTACTTGCGATTATTAGCATTCGCAAACCATAGCACTCACCGCTTGTGGGATCCATGTTTAGAATAAAGATGAATTGTCCTCGAAGACAGGAACGGCAGTCTAGAAGCGTCGTAGCCGAAGGGTTTTGTTAACGAAACATCATCCTAATTCCTCATGTAATCGGTAGCATAATTATCTAATCATAAAGTTGTTTTATAATCAACATCTATCACGACGGTCTGTATATGATTTGAAAGCCTATATTTTTCGAACCATTATTTTACTTTTTTCAAGTTTCAGTTGACTAATGTGTATATATGTATTTTGAATTTTTTCAGTAAAAGATATTTGTGAATCAAATATTTATGTCTCGAATACCCCCAAACGAGTACTAGGGGGCCTCGTCCACGGTGTAATATTTCTGTTCGGCGTAGCATTAGCTATATAATACATTAAATGATACATGTAGAATAGTTCGAATTTGCCAGATTAGCTTGCTGTATTTAATTTAGATCCATATTTAGCGATTAATATTATATAATATAGTGCCTTAACATGTTTATATGGTATTTATAAATGACTAACCGCCACTAGAATAGCGAAACATTACACCGCATACGAGGACATGTAAAAACCTGAGTTTTCTAATGTTTGTATGTATATTATATAAAAGTTCTATGAAATCGTTCTGTCGAATTTTTTAAAGATTTCTACAGGAGAATGTATAATGTGTGTATAATTTACAGATTGATTGAAACAAACATGGCAAATGTCAAATTTTCAATTTCTAAAAATCTCGCATCTTAAAGTGATATGTCGCACATCACTTTAGTTTGTATACATGTACTTCCTCCAGTAAAAATCTTGAAATAAGACTTATGGAAAAATAATACGTATAAATAAAAAATTTTGAGCTTATCTCGTCGTCTTGTATCGATAAGCGTGATTACTCGACATGTTGCGATTTCTCAAATATTATCTTTTTTATTTAAATATTTTTCCATAAGTGCACGTGATTGTAGTTCTATCTTTTCATATTTGATCAACACGTTTTTCTTCTTGCAGCTCACGCTTACTGATGACTGCCTGGTGCCACACGGAAAGCGTGAAACAAAAAAAAACGACGAAAAAAGAAAAAATGTACCTGAAAAAGGTCAACTAAAAAAAGAAAGAAAAATTACATCATCTCCCGAAAGAATTTTGACGTCTCGATCACAGCACATATTTCCACACACGGAATTTTATTTATTTATTAACTCTTTTCCCACATCGTATGATTTACTGTACTTTTCATCTAAAATCTGAAATAAAATAAACACTGCCAAAATTTTATTACAGAACGGTCAGTTTACCTAATCTTATTTTCCTTCTAGGAATAATTTAAAAAATGTTCATATGATTTTAAAAAATATATATATATTATAACAATTTATAAATTACTATTAGTTTCGATAAGTTAAAATAAAATACATGTCCAATTTGAATGACAATGATCGAAAAGTATATTTCGGTCGATTATTTCTAAATTAATGATGTAATAACTGTATAAAAATGAAAAAATTTTTAGGTCTAACAATTTTAGCACCAAAAAGTTGAACATCTTAGAGAAATATGTATATAAAGAAAAAATATCAAATATTGTTATAAAAAAATATATATATGTGTATAAATTATATTATACATATTTAAAAATCAACTTGCTGCGAAGTAGATTTCTTACCTTCTTACTAAAAAGTCAGGAAAGAATTATAAACTGAAAGAAAAGTTTGTACAACAATATGCATATTTATTATCTGAAAGTTTTACATCTCTAGGATGCCATTGCATAGCGTGTTCCGTCATCGGCGATTCGAACGATGTAACAATCCATAGTCGCGCGCGCGCAAGCTCCTCCCACGAGAGCGTCTTAATTATTTATTTAGTAAAGTATCGTCGAATCGCGACCGGCCAACCCTTTACAAATATAATATCTGTATATAATATATGAATCTCGGACGAAAAGAACGCATATATCAAGGAATCACAACCGCTCCTTTGACAATAACTAATCTTGCGCTTCAGTTTGGGAGGATTAGGGGAGAAACGCAGGGAGGGAAGGATGGAAAGGACACCTTTCGTTTTATCGGCTCCAATTCTAAAACAAAAATTTACACTGCATCTCTCTCGTATATCAAACAATAAATAACTATGTCAAATGGTATTCGACGTTAAATAGCAATCAAATAATAAACAACCATTGAGTAAAATATAGCATAATAATTTGAGAACCAATCGTAGTGTCGTTGCCACGAAAAGGCCCGTTGCATTTGATTGATTTCTGCTTCTGAGTTTTCAGTTTTGATGTACGGTCTTCGTGTTTCCGGATCGTCTTCTCAACTATAATAACTTGCACGATACAATCTCATATTAATCGTCAGTCTGTATTTAATCATTGACAAACGCGTTTTATCGATATCTCATAAATTTCGACGTATACATCATGTTTATTAATAATATTCATAAATACTTTGCCAATAGCAAATATTAAATCCCTAGAAAACATATTTGCGCATTATTTGAAAATAAAATTTTCACTATGAATACAATCTCCCAAATGTCACTATTTAATCAGTCGTTGCTTCCAGACTGCAAATTTACTTTTTTGTACATAATGTAATTTCCAAGAATCTCTGCAAGCTTCATAATGTAATATTTTAATAATAATATTCTTGTCAAAACGTACTTTTTTTAGACAGATGTGACTTCTGTTGCGCAGACGATCGCAAATAATGATACAATAGTATCGTTCGTTTTGTCTCACCTGGGTCTATCTCGGAAGAGATCCAATCAGATTTTGGTATCTTTGGATTAATTATAAGATAGTAGAACTCCGAAAGTAGAACAAGAAATTAACCGAATGGAACTATTTCGCGAAGGAGAGTTACAGAAAAACTCTAAGTGGACCTGAATGGTTCTCTACTCTGATGATAGATCATAGAACAGAACCAAGTCTTTACTTTGAAAACTCCCGATTTTGCCACCTACATGAAAGAACGTCTAAAAAAACACCTAGGTTCGTTAAAAGCGACTCCAAGCAGTTCCCGAGAGACAAAATGAACAATACTATAGTCGCTTGTAGAACAAAAGCGTAACAAGGAAATATTATATAATGTATCATTTTTAAAGTCTATATAAAACAATTTTATCTCCCTCAAACGGCACATTTATTTTCGGTACCTTCGGACTGCACATATGGATTATTCGTGTTTGACTCGATTTTAAGGTGCTTAATCTTATAGCGTTTTTCATTGGCATGCACTGAGTGCGCACTAGAAACTCGTCGAGTTGAGTTGACACTGTCCAAGTTCATCGACAGTGCAAGTTTTTTGCACGCCCAATGAAACATTTACGACTTGGCGAGTGGACGATATCAGCATATTTCTAATCTGTTTTCAACAAAGCATCTCAAGTTCTTTTTCGAAATGAATACTTCCGATAATTTATTTTTGATAAAATTCAAAATAAATACGAATAATGTAAGAGTTAACATTTCAAGTTGGTGAAGAAGAACTATACGAAAAATTTTTAAGTAAGTCTACATTCTATCGATTCTGTCAATCTCATAACCTAATTATGGGAAAAATTTAATATAAAAACTGTTTTTATTTTGTGAACGCATTTTGTGAATGCAACGCACGTAAAATATATTTATATGTGTGCTTAAACACATCAGACATTAAAATACACACACACGCATATACACGTATCGCATCTGAGTGTGTCAATTTGTGTCAATTTTTTCTTCATAAACAGAAAACTGCTAATAATAATTATTTAATCGTCATCATCACTACTAGATGATAACAAGAGGAAATCGAGTACCACTTCCATAGTTTGCTCGTTCAAATAATTTTCATCAGTTCGCACCGCCATATTTTGCACGAAACCGACACCGTCTCTCGGAGCTCGTGCCAGATTTTTGCACGAAAGAGCGAAAACTCGACACTAGATTTACCAATGAAACAGCGAGCACGATCTTCGTGCGCACTGAAATCCCCAATGAAACACGCAATCCGCGCCTAGTGCGCACTAGTTCTGCCAATGAAAAATGCTATTAAAGTACTCGAAAAATTCTGTAAAAATTTACACATATTCTTTAAAGTCTCTACTAAATTATTCTGCTATGCAAACATTGGAAAAAATGTTTAGAAAAATTATGAAAATTATTTTCTGAACCAGAAAAAAAAAATAATTCAGTTTTGATATAAAATCGTAACTTTACTATATGTATATGTACAAAAAAATCATTGTAGGATTTTTGTACAGATATCATAATTTATAAAAAAAAAATATTACATAAGCCAGATGCAAAAAAGTGCAATTATTTGAGCATTTGAACATATCATTTTTAATGTGACAAATAATTTTTTTTAAGAAAAAACAGTTTTTGATTTGATTAAAGTCAAAAATGATTGTTTTTAATACAAACCAAATGCTTCTCTATAATCTCCCCATCACAAAGATTTTTCCTAGAGGGGGGGAGGGGGGCACAAAACCATGCGCACAGGTATATAAGAAATAAGAACTATCAGAAATAGTATGGACACGAAAGACCCATATGTGCGTTCGAGGAGTATTACTGTAGTAATTTCTACAGCAATGAATAAGATTACATGAAACTTGAGATCAATAAAAAAAGAGAAAAGCTAGATAAACATATTCTGCAAATGTTTAAATAAATGCACCAAACATTTAAATGCGATGTGCCGTCGCAGGTTTTCCCGCGCGTTCAAAAATTAATAAACTTTATCCTATCACATGAATGCCTCTTATGTCTAAACAGCATAAATATATATAATGTAACAAATGCAAAATTTTAAAATCGAAATATACAGATCTGCCTATAAAATTACTAATGAAAAGTTCACACAGTTTAAAAAAAATCTTTAGAATACGTAATACTTCCATAAATCGATAACAATGTATATTTGCATTCGCGTTTGTTTTTATCGCAAGAGAAAAAGCCGAGATTCTGCATCTAAACTCTGTATACATGCGACATATCCTCGTTTCTGTCTTCTTCACGATCCCCCTCCTTTTAGTATCTTTCGAATAAAGGCGTAAGTATATTTATCTTAAAAATACTAGCTCTCTGTGTTTCTCTCCGGATTCATCGCCCGAGAATAAACAACCTAATTCGTCTACGACATATCTCTGGAACGTGCAGTCACTATCACGCTCGGAATACTGCACATGACGATATAATTAAATTTGTAATGGGTAATGGAGAAAAAATAAATGGTCAAAAATATATATATATGTATGTATATATATATATATATCTATCTATATACACGCGCATCTCTCACGAAACGATATTTAAATTAGCTGCTAAAGCAATGATAAAAATACTATTAAAAATAAAAATAATATTAATAATATATAACAGTGAATCTCATAATTACACTCAACATCAACAGTGGAAGCAATAAATACAAATGAGAATGATGAAATGCTTTTCAAAGAGTACTAGCTTTACACAAGGGATCACATCGTTCATGGTAGATAATTGCCATAATTGCCATAAAATTCTGAAAGCAATCCCTTCGTGTCAAGTGCGACGATAATCGAAACTTGATTGACCACGAATCATTTATATTTCTTATCAGGTTAAAATGCAATTGAGAGAGAAGTAAATCTTACACATTTTTTTTTAGGTTTATGTTTATCAGATTAGGTTAATTCTGTATCTCGGCGTCTTCGTGCTGAAACACATGAAAATCAAAAGCTAGATCAGATACACAACATCCGAGAAACTTGATGTTTTCGACAAGCGCATCGGCTACAAAGCATTAAGAATTTTCGCAAGCCCATGTGTCCGAGTGATTCCATTAATGTATCTTTGAACCATAAATCAAGTCCACTTAAATCATGTTTGCCCCGGAGTGCGTGTACAGGTGTTGGAAACGTCGCATGCTAAGTATTACATCTAAATCATCGGTGATTCATTACGCGAACTTAAATATATCGAGCAACGTTCTACATTTCGCTTCCTTTCGCTCTCCTTTCGTTTCTTTATTTTTTTCTGTTCTTTTTGTCTCTTTGTTTATTTAACTAATGATCGTGGGAAATAGATTCGTAATAATGCACATAAGTGGTCAGCTAGTGTGATTAAGTAAGCTTTGACAAGCATAAAGCAGATTTACCTAGCATGATAGCCTCCATTAAGGATAATCGCGTTTGTTGTGCAGGTTCGGTTGAAGGCTGTCATTTCTTTTTCGCTGGATTCCTTTGTGGTGTAGATGGTCTACCTGCTTGACCCGTATTCATTCCTCCATATTGGTATTTTGCTTTCTTTTCTGATGGTTTCAAGATCTGTAAAAAGATGCAAAACAAAACGCGATAAACTTGGATGTTACATCAACAACATTGAAGAAAAATAAAAGAAAAATTCTTTTGTCAATCACCTGGAAACTGCACATTAACGTTTCGTCAACACTCATCATTCCGCCGGCATTATCAAATTCGCCACAGTAGTTTGGCGCAGAGAAAAGTGTGACGAGTTGTCGCTTGGCGAAAAATTCATAGCCATCCTCGACCACTTGATGTGCCCTGCATATGAGATCCATATCATGACGATTCAGGAACTTCGACACGACGTCTGGACCGAATGTGAATGAAACTCCTCTATCGTTTTCACCCCAACCCTAGAACATTAATATACGGTTAAAGAAATTCTTACTATATTAATCTAATCAGCGCGTTAAGATTTGCTTCACATAAAAGCATCTCACCTGAACATCCTTATCAGGATCGGACCATAAAAGATCACAGAGGAGACCAGTATCAGGTACATCAGTTGGACGCATGATTCTTCTAATTTGCTCCATTCCCTAAACAAGACAAAGTACGAATATATATTTATTGCACTTTTATCCAATCAAATAAGTTTCTTTTTATACGAGAATGAAGAACTTTTTTGGTTTCTCCGCTAGTCACCTGCAGGTCAGGACTGAGTCCGCCATGGCAACAGAAGATTTTTTCATCGATAATCGCGGCGATCGGTAAGCAGTTAAAGCAGTCTGTGAAGGTCTTCCAAAGCTTGATGTTATACCGCCGCTTACACTCGTCGTAAAAGCCATATATCCTGTTTATACTAGCGCATTCGTGATTGCCGCGCAGCAAGAAGAAGTTCTCCGGATATTTGATTTTGTATGCCAACAGCAAGCATATTGTCTCCAAGGATTGCTTCCCTCGGTCAACGTAATCGCCCAGGAACAGATAGTTCGCTTCGGGCGGAAAGCCGCCGTACTCAAAGAGCCGCAGCAGGTCGGTATATTGGCCGTGTATGTCGCCGCAGATCTTAAGCGGCGCCTCCAATTCCAGCAGAATCGGCTGTTGCAGGAAAATCTCCCGCGACTTCAGACAGAGGCCACGTACCTCGGCCTCCGTCATGACAACGGTCTTGCCCGGCCGACATCCTCTGACTGTATACCCAGAAATGTTGACGATTAATTACGTTATTTTATTTGAGACTGCAACTAACCTTCATTAGTGCGGTGAATTAATCTATCAGATACTTGTTCAGAAAAATAAAATAGTAAAATAAATAAAAGCACGAATTTGTTACATTTACTGCGTCAGTACGAATTTACAACTGATTTCAATCTCCTCTTAAAGGCTTTTACATCGAAATAAGAGTCTATCTATAACGTAAGAATAGGCAGTCTATCTCTGGAAAAAAAAATCAATAATGCCATTGTCATGTATAATTAACGTCATACTTATACCACATTACTTATACCGTTACGCACGTATTGCTTCTGGAATTACTCGAGCGTGATACGCCAATAATACATCATTATCCCGTCAATTTACCACAAGTCTCTATTGAGACTCGTTGCCTTCGACTCACCGTACGCCGTTACGCACGGTTATGCAATTCTTTGATTCGCGTCGAGAAGAGAACAATAGAGAAACACGGTCGGCTGTATCGACCTTCTTGTTACTTATACCGGTGTACGCGAATCGATAATAACGCCTAATGAGGCATTCCCCACTTCTGTCCACCGCACTAATGAGGGACGGTCATGATACTCCTTCTTACAGGTACATCGAGCATAACTCTACTTTGGGGCATGGAAGATGATTAAGTTCTGCCGGTATTAGCCGTCTCAATAAACAGGGGTGATACACGATTACAGATTACGGTGAGGCCAGATCATCTTTTCCTATTCTCGAGCACTTTGCACATGGGTACAATCACGGTACTTCCGGCGTGGTCTACGGTGGTATCGCATCGATTATAATAGCGTCAAAGGCGTGAAATTACTGATAAGCTCGTTGGGTAATGGATATGTCTCGGGAGTGTGCGAGTCTCTCTCTCGACGAGAGAGAAAGGGAGAAAGAGAGCTATTTTCGACACGGATTGTACGATTCAACATTACAGAAACCTAAAGTACCACTCAACTATGGATTCTGGATCCTACCTGGATCTTATAACGCTCTGACCGATTCTATTTCCCGCAAGTTCCTAATTTCTAGTCTAGTTCAATTTCGCACGATCACAATGCCATGTATAGAGTAAATGCATCAGTGAATAGATTCATGCATATCTCCACAACTGTGTCAAGTAACACGACTGTATTTTTTACTAATTAAATTAGTAAATATATTAATTGCACAATTATAAGAGTTGTACAATTATAAGTTAACGACAATTTGTTACAAAGCATCGGTAATTTAAAACTCTCTAAATTTTGTGGAGTGAAATCTCACTCGAAGAGATCGAGAGAGAAGAATTTATCAAAATTTAAATAATTTTTTGTTATATCAACGTTAAACTTTTATATCTGAATTTTGTCTGCGATAAAAATTAGTTCAGTAAAAAAAAAATTGAATTATAACACAATAAAAATTAAATTATATCAGGTTTACGTATTCGTAAACAAATTCACTAGCGCATTTAGTCTTCAACACTTGATAAAAGTGCCGAATACCTTTAGATGACGTCATTCGACATTCAAAGCGTTAATAAGCGGCGAAGGCAAAGGGAACAGGTGATTTAACCGACATCCAGTACAGACCGTCTCTCTTTATGACGCTATGGATGTGTCGTCGAATCGTTATTTATAGACATAAAAAGGAATTCACGGTGCGGCTGAACTAGTCTGATACTGGCTATCGGAAAACTGCATATTAGCAAGGTCACGGTGACTATAGAGCGAAGATGCAGAGATTCCACTACCCGGGAGAGAAGCTATTGTCACTTTGCTATTACATGGCAGGTATATTCCAGACGAAACGCTGGAAATGTCACTTCGCACCTCGTAATCATCGGATGCTTAAAATAAGTGCTTAAAATAAGCCGAAATGAAAACAGATTTCTTTGGGATCACTCTGGGATCACTTATAGACGATGCAAACATCTCGTCGCGTACGATGGCTCGTGTTAATAATTTATAAATTTATGTGAAAATTTAAGAAAAAATTACAAGAAAAGCTCGCGACACTTGTATGTATTATAATATTTATTCTTAAAACTAAAATTTAATTGGAGGACTTCTTTATAGCGCCCTGTCAGCCTTCTTTTCAATGTAAAATTTCAATAACTTTATATAAATAAATAAAATCGATCCTACAAAAGGTAGAGAGAATATATAGAGAAAATATATGATAAATCAGAAATAACTTGTCCCTGAAGAGGTTAAAAATAATTGTAAGGTCTCGTTAACGATGACTCTGGAGTGCGAACTTTATATCGCATATTATTCAGGGACCTGTGACGTGAACGTACTTATTACACTAAATTTGCAGTATTAACTGTACCGTCACATCCGAGATGTGATAATCTTAAAAAATTCATTATGAACTTAATAAGTTTTTAAAAAATTGTTAAACTGATAAAATTTCCACGTTATCATGTTTTATAAGTCACACGCATGCGCCTAAGATGAACTTCACCATGAAACACTAAGAATTTAAAATAATTTGTCCCTGAAGTAGTTAAAAATAATTCGTTGTTGTCACGTTAAACTAAAGTCTTATGAAGGTATAAGGTTGATATATATAAACGAAAGCTCAGGAATATGTTCCCCGAAATTAATAATTGATTGCTAATTTCAAACTGTAAATAACATCAAATATATAACAGTGCAATATAATTAAAATTACTTTCTTATCTTATGAAATATCGTTCCATAATAAATATTACATATATTAAATACAACTATTACATGTTTGTCGTAAGTGTCGTGAGATACACATTTTAAATACGTATCTCCAACGTTTTTTCCAATCACGAATGTATTAACTGAATCATTAAAACGAATTAATACTAGATATAGTTAAATCAAGGTTTATCTAAACGATAATGACATTACATCATAAAACACAATTGATATGAAGCTCACATAGATAATGATAAATTACACTAACACGATATTCTTTTCAATCAAAGATTATTTAAACTTACAAAATCTGCATCATTACGCATAATTCAAAATTACGATTTTCAGATAGTTTATAATTTTATGATTTTACATTTTAGGGAGAAGAGTAGAAAAGAGAAAGATGGAGATATTATATTCGAATAGTGCGAGGGAAGGAAATATAATAGAAGAACGTGCATTTTGCTACAAATTACGTATTGCACAAATACACTTATTATATCAAACATATACTCTAACATTTAAGCATCTAACATCTCCAGTCATCGTTGCTTCATTTTTAAATAGATAAAGCATTTCAAATGAGAAGGCTACGAGTGCGAAGGGAAGAAAGTGATAAATCTTAAACGATATAGGCTAAGTGCATTGACAGATCCAGAAATAACTTCGAGTGGTTCGAGAAGCGTTTGTGTGGATACTTATATTCCAAATAAGATTATAGATATTTGTCTTTGAGTAAGTGTGTAGCTGTTTGAAGTCTAAGGGAGGCTTCGATAGGATCGACGACCGAAGAGCAAGCAAGAAGGATCACATTTAGATCTCGTATGCAGCAGGGGTCAGTTCTCCTCTTTACTTGAAAAACAAAAAATAAAAAAAAATGAGGAAAAAGAAGGAATCGAGCGAGCGAGCAAGCACGCGACAATGAGAGGCAACGGCCCGTAATTCGCAGCGCGTGATTTAACGCTAAACGTGGCTACCTGAATGTCACTTGAGCCATCCTCATATCATCCTCTTTATGAGGTAGAATGATAACTTTTAAAACACCACGATCTACTTATTTCTACGAGAACTTTAATATTATTGCAGCTTTAAACGCGACGTCTAAACATAAATTACTTTCCACTTACGATAAATGGACTTCTAAAGTCGACTCTGCTTTCCATTTAATTTGTGTCACCGTGTGTCGGTGACTCGAGTTGATTCTACTTGATTTTGTTTTAATTTCAAGATAGAAAGAAAACTAGATCAACTTCTATTTATCAAATTACACGCATGAGTGATTTTTTCATGTAATGAAATTGAATGTTACACATTTGACGTAATTAGTCTTTAAATTTTTTTAGGTGGAATTTTACTTTAAGGAATGAAAATAAAGCTAGTCTTGAAAAAGAGTGGCTTAACTTTCAATCTTTAAAAGATTCTTTAAAAAAGTACAAAGTTATAAATTTATCTCAACAAATTGTATCGTTAATTAATATACTTCTGAGTTGCTCGAAACAATGGCAGTATAAAGTAGAATGTTTATTTTGCAACTGTTGCAAGTTTCCTTTGTTGAGATAGGACTCTTCTAGATTTAAAAATATAATCCAATCTCAGCGCAAAGAAAACTTATAACAATGGAAAATAAACATTCTACTGAATGCGGTCATTATATTGAATGCATCACTTCTTCCTCAACTTCTACTGATAACTGATAACTGCTTTTGTCGGTTATCATTTTCCAGCTCTGAATTTCAGCTGATTCAAGTCGGTCGTTGAAAAAGTCATGTAAATGGAAAACAGAAACGATATAAAAACAAATATGATAACAACTTTAAAACTATAAGAATGTATTTCCTTACTTTTATCTTGTACTTAACAATATGCAATTGTAATGTGGAAGCCACGCTTAGAGATAACCCGCGACGCCAAGTAAGCAGACGTTTACGTGCTATAAGGCCACGGAATGATAACAAAATACAAACGTCAGGGAAGTTCGATCGAACGAACTCTCTAGTAGCGAATTCTATCACTCGCATTTTATATTAGATTAGTGCATATTTAAAAAGTGAATATTTTCAATAATAAATACTCAATAATATTAACACGTTATTTAACAAAATATATATATATTGTCTTTCATTATAAGTTGATTGTTATGCCATTGCACAATTAGATACTTCATACAAAACAGCCTTTTTATGTGTACTAATTTAGTAGTGCGAGTGATAAAATTCACCATAAAATTTTTAGAATGAATTTTATTCCGAAGAGTGAAATCTCATTCTTAACCCTCAGTACACACGATGATTTTCTGAATTTTTATTACTTTAACAAATATACAAAAATTATTAAGTGATACTTAATGACATCTCTAAAAAGTACCTGCAAAACTGCATATTTAAAAAATTATAAATGTTATAATTACTGCTCCCAGTTTTTGGAAGAAAAGAAATTTGTAGGACAAGAACGACTCAATCGCGAGTACTAAAGATTGAAGATTGGAAACTGAGCCACTCTTTTCCAAGACTGGCTCAATTTTCACTCTTTAGAGATTCTACTCCAAAGAATTTTGAGAGAATGCAGGATAATTCTACATGGAGGGGTTTGTCGTTTCCTGTTGTTGCTGTGATGGTAGTGGTGGTGGTGGCTGGTTATTGTTGTGTAGTAGCTGCGTACCGACAAAGTCCGACGAGAAAATATCTTTTAGCTTGGCTTTCTTCTGAACCTGGTCTTTCTGCGTGTGGTATACTTTACCGCACAAGGGGGTTCCCGCATTCGCGTAGCATGAGAGAGAGAACAAACAAAAAGAGAGAGATTTGTTTCTTCTTTTTTTTTCTGCGGCTAAAGAGAACGAAGGGATAAAAGATCGCGCGGTGGTTAGCGGCGCAGGGCGAGAGGGGTGATGCGGTGGCAGTTTTGCGCGGAGGGAGAGGGTGGATTCTTTAAGTCGCGAGAAATAGATGGAGTTACATCGTAAAGAGTGAGAAAACGAACGCGACCAAGACAGCGAGGTAAAGAGAGAGAGAGAGAGAGAGAGAGAGAGAGAGAGAGAGAGAGAGAGAGA